AAGAGGCAACGATGCAGGAAGGTGTCCCTGTTCCAAAAGGGGAAAATGAAGGACGAGTCTATGTGCGGAAAAGAAAAAGAACGAGTATGGGACCTAGATCTTCTCAGAATGTAGAAGAAATGTCTTCTGATACCTTAGACGAAACAGTAAGCAGAATTAATCGGATCGAAAGGTTTCAAGAAGATAGTTTTTCACGTATTGAGAGGAAAATACAGGAACAACATGATCAGTTGCAAAGTGATTTCAACTCATTCGCATCAAGAATAAAAGAAACGGTTGACATCCTTGGGGAACGCATGACAGAAATATCCAACATGATGAAGAAATTGTCACCAGGCTCGTCCTCCTCCAGTTAGCCTCCACCCCCTACACTAGGATGAAGAACTACTGAACAACCTCCACCTTCTCAACATCTGTGTAGTTAATTAGGGAACGAACTATGAATGTTAATTGTAATTATGTGTAGTTCAAATACTAAACTGTATGTACGGATATATGTTAATTAATAAAGTTTGATTTCACAATATGTTCTCAATTAGCTGAACTTCTCCAATATCATATGAATGTTAATTCTTAGTATAAATGTTATGTACGAAGATTATATTTGCCACAGTATAATCTAAAATGAAATGTAGAATAATCTGCAATGAAATGTGACGATAATATATACTGAAAACATTCAGAATAAGGATAATATAAACATTTACGTTATTATTATGAATTCAACACCCTACAACCAACAGTGTACTCTTACCCAACCAGCAACAGAAATAATAAAAACAAAACAACTGATACCAAAAGACATATCAACACCCTAAATCTGAAATGAAATGTAGAATAATCTGAAATGAAATGTGACGATAATATAAAGAAGACATTCAGAATAAGGATAATATATACATTTCTATTATTATTATGAATTCAACACCCTACAACCAATAGTATACTCTTACCCAACCAGCAACAAAAATAATAAAAACAAAACAACTGATTCAGCATATAGGTCAACTGCATTCGTCAGAAATTAACCACAACACGAATAATTTCTACCGAATACAAATGCAACAATGCTCCAACCGGTTAATGATATCAAATCTCTCCCAACGAAACATGTTCATCATTTACATCCTCCTGTCCAAGACATAAATTACTATTTGCTACAAGATTCTGAACCAGACCAGTGGACAACTGTCAATGTTTAATAACCACAATTTAGCACATGTTATAGAAAACTTAAGGTTTTTACAATTATACAACATACATAGCACATACTTGAGTAGCAATAATATCATTTGACAACACTTGAGTTCCCGGTACACTTTCAGCAATGTTGTCTTGGTCTGCTGATGATTCTTTCCCTATAAAGTAGCATAACATATTAATAATCAAGTAAATATTATAATAAACTTCAAATAAGTAAATAGTGTTTAAAAAACAAATATCATGTCAGAATGGGTGTATAACTCATACCAAGTCTTTGTTTTCGCAATTTTTTATTTTTAACCCTACTTACAATTTCATCAACCTTCGATTGCTTTCTTTTGCATGGAGGACGACCTTTGCTGCAAGCTACCCGTGGACTATTAATTAGACTATTCCCCTCTTTCGGAGGATTCTCCCCCTCTTTACTACCAAACCCTCCCTCACTTTCCTTCTGCTCCTACTTATTTTTCACTCCAGTCATCAATTCCATCAACATGTTATACTCTTCCTCATTGTTTGATGCCATATCAGCTACTGTCAGCATTAGATTAGACAACTTCTCAAAACGCTGTCCTTCAACGTTTGTGCTCCACCTATTATAACTTACCTTGATTTTCGTATGACATCTTTTGCTATTTTTCCTCCAACGCCGTAGAATGTACTTATCTGGAATGTGTGAAACCCTTTTATGAATCAACACAATAATGGCATGTCTGCATAAAATCCCTTTGAACTCAAACAAATGACAATTGTAGCGAATATCACATGAAATTTCTTCAAAGTATACCAGAAAGGGAACACGCTGATTACTATCTCCAAACCAAACATCTTCTAAAACTTGATACTCCTCAAACGAATCAGAATTTTTCAGAAAAGATAATTCACAATAAATCTTCCCCGCAATCTCTTCTTGAAACTCTTTAAATTTTGCAGTTGTGTATGCATTTTGAAATTGTTTCTCAATGGGGTAATTAGTTATGCATGGTATCCAAGACTTGAAAGATCTAAAATCAGCCTCCCTCTCCTTTTCCACTTTATCTTGCAATGCATTATCATATTGTTCCACAAATTGTTTCAATGTTGTTTTGGAATTTACATATCCATCGAAAAATGCATGCATACTTTCACTACATTGGATAGTAGACATACCTGCCCAGAAAGTATCTTTAACAAATGCAGGCACCCAACGTACTCTTTCTTTATACAATCCAGATAACCATTCATTCTCATGAAGGTTATACACATCAATGAATTTGTTCCACCGTTCTTCGAACTATTCACATGTCAACGAATCATACACAATATTTTGTAACGTAAACTTTATAGTTTCATATTCGTTATACCCTCTTAACTTCTCAGACAGTTTCTTCATTATATGCCACAAACACCACCTATGTCTTGTACCAGGGAAAACAATCTCAATTGCATTTTGCATGGCCTTATCTTGATCAGTGATAATTCCATTAGGAGCAACATCCATGCATTCAAGCCAAGAACGAAATAGCCATACAAATGTCATCATGTCCTCATGTGAAATTAACCCACAACCTAACAATGTCGAATGTCCATGATGATCAACCCCCACAAAAGCCACAAATGGCATATTATACTTGTTCGTCAGATACGTTGTGTTGAAGGTCATAACATCACCGAAATTTTTATATGCGGCCCTACATCTAACATCAACCCATAGCACATTCTTTAATCGACTCTCTTCATCTACATCAATCATGTACCAGAAATTTGAATTCTCCTTTTGCATTTTCATAAAATACTCTAGTACTTTCGAATCATCTCCAACTCTAAGTCGTAGCCTTCTAACTTTTTCAATGTAATTCCTACAATCTTTTTGTAGAAATGTCAAATTCTCTACACCTCTTGCCTCAACTGAACATGACTGAAAATTTTTACGAAGTCTAATCCCAGCCTGATCATTAACTTCAAGCCTCCTTTTTCACAAAAGGTTGTATCATTCGGTTTACCTTGAAATATCTTCTTTTCGTCGGACTTGTAAGATCATGGTTATGTTCAAGCACAATTGATTTAATTTCCCATTTGTATTCATCATTCAAAGCTAAACTAATTCGACTCTTACAATCTGTTTTTGCAACAGGTTGTTTTTTCAAGGTATTTCTACATTTACTTCTCTCCTTCCCAGAACAAAAACACGCCACTGTCATGTATCTCATCTCCCCATCATCTCCTTTCTTTGACGTACGTATCATTGCTTCAAAACCCATTTTATTCTCATACCTTCTGTAATACTTCACCAAACTATCAACTGAATCAAACACCATTCCAATATGAGGTTCCACTTCTTCCTTTGCACATCCCGTATCTTCTAATTCATTACATTCATTTTCCTGATTCAATGGTTTTATAATAAAGAAAATTAGAATGTGAACACATCATAATAAACAAAACAATACACCATATTTAAAAAAGTTTCGAACACAATTTACCTCAACATCATTGAAACGAGGCAAACTGGACTCTTCCATATTCAGTTATTTCATGCACAACTAATACCAGTTTTTGTGTTCACGAATCTAGTTCACAACTGTCACCAACAAATATTATCTATCAAACATATATTCAATCCAAAATAGAATAGGAAACTAAATGAATATATAAAATAAGTCAAAAATTCTTTACCTTAACAAAAAATCTGAGCTTTAACAGGTTTGATATCTATTTTTGTTTCTGGGTTATCTCTATAAAACGAGATATTGCTGCTCGTGCTTGGCTGTTGAGGAAGCAACCGACGTTGAATCAAGGAATCACAACACGCAACGAAAGAGAAGCTAAGAAAACCAAATGGCGCAGACGAAGAACAAAAGAAAAACAAATGACGGAGACAAAGGAGAAAAGAAGAAAAAAAAATTGGCACTTAAAAAAAAGCGTATTAGACAAGCCATTCATTAATATTAATTAACAAAAAAAAAATTTCAACAAATACCATGTACTTTGGACGGCCGTCCCGTCCAAACTACATGGACGCCAGTCCAAAGTACATGGACTGCCGTCCATATTTACATTATATTTAAAAAAAAATTTAAATAATTAAAATTTCACAAACTAGGGACGGCAGTCCATCTAGTATGGACGGCCATCCCTAAAAGATGGACAGCCGTCCACAACAGATGGACTGCCGTTCCGTTATATTTTAAAAGTATTTTTATAAAAAAAAAATTCACAAATATAGGGATGGGCATCCATCATTTAGGAACAGCCGTCCCTATATGATGGACGACCATCTAAACTATGATGGACTGGTGTCCATCTTTATGGACGGTCATCCATATTATATGGACGCCCGTCCAACAAATTTGGACGGGCGTCCATTGTTTTTTTTTTTTAAAACAACACAACTTTTTATAGACGGTCATCCATTCTACTATGAACGACAGTCTGAGATGTATGGATGGCTGTCCAAAAACATTGGACGGCCGTCCATTTATGTCAGTATTCAATCATCCAACGTGGCTGCCTCCACGTGTTTCGATGCAATTTTTCGGTGGATATAGCATTTTTCATGGTAGAATTACATTGAGTATGAGACTGACTCGTCTCATCTCTCTTTTTTGCCTCTTTCCATGAAGCCAATGTATCAACACCTATAGATCTAGTTATATTTCCTGCTGAACTACAAACCTTTGTATTTTCATTGTTTTGTTTCTTATTATCTCCTTGTTTGTTAGCTTCTTTTTTAGCTTTCTTGTGTTGTTTCCACCTTCTAAGTGTTCGATTTATTACCCCAATGGATTTATTGTAGTTTTCTTACCATATGTCCAACCATGCTCACCATAGATAGAGCCCTAGCTGACTCTTGTAAATCTGTCGCCTCCTCTTCTTCTCACCAACCCCTATTCGTGTCATCAGCCGAAAAAATCGCTCATATTGATGACCTTCTAATTGAATTACTTGCTTACCTCCCTATCAAATCGTTGTTCAAATTTAAGACTGTATCTAAACAGTGGCTTTCCCTCATCTCCAACCCCGATTTTTGCCTCCGGCGAAACCTTGTTACTAGACCCGTCTCTGCCATCATTGTGCTTTCAAAATATCGCCCGCGTCGCAAAAGAGATCGACGTAAAGTTACTAAACATGGGTCGACTAAATATGAGTTGATTAATCTTAATTCCGATCCCTCTCTAGGGGTCTTCAAGAATCTCACTTTTTCATTAGGGACCGTAATCCTGCATTCTTGTAATGGTCTCTTGTTATGTGGCAATGTTGATTGGCGCAAGCCGATGCACCAGTGTTTCATTTTCAATCCCATTACCAAGCAACGCACTAAACTTCCTCACATCATTGAAAGTCCTCCTGACGATTATGGAGGTTCTCCTACCATTTTTGGTATTAACTTGGCGTTTGATCCTTTAAAGTCTCCTCATTACAAAGTCATTTGTATCAGAAATTGTGATTCTTCTGATGAGGGCGGTTATCAAATGGAGATTTGAAAGTATTGTGAAGCCAAAAACGGAGTCGTTTCACTTAAGTATATTCAAGACAAAACGGGGTCGTTTTGTTTGAGACCACTACCAACTTTTTGCCATCAGATCAAGACAGATCCAAGGGCTGAGAATTGCTGATGCAACCGTATATAAAGAAGAGCAACAGTGATACAGAAAAAGAACGCGTGTTTTTGTTAATCGGTGTATTAGGGTTTGCAAAAGAGGGATAAACACTTGGGGCTAGGTCTGTTGCTGAATCTTTCTGGGTTAATCTGGGTTGAGTGAGAGAGGGTTGCGTTTCCTTCCAGAGGCTGGTATTTGTCCTCTGTTTCTTGCAGATTATTGAGAGGTTCTTGAGTGATTAGGCCGTGGTGGGTGTTAGTCTGTTTAAGGCAGATTTGTAATCGTGTTCTTCTTGTAATTGTTGTCGATCTCATTAGTGCTGTGGGCTTCCATATTTCGGAGCTCAACGTGGATGTAGTCTATCCAAGATTGGATAGACGAACCACGGTAAAATTGTGCCTTGTGTTGTTGTGTGTGATTCTCTTGATCTTTAACCTTGTGTGTGTTGTTTGTGTTGCGAATTTGCTTATTAGGCTTAGGTTATAACAAGATTTGTTCATCAGAAACAAATGGACCCTGGAGACTATCTGGTGGTACTGTCCGTGCACTATCTTATATGAAATTTAAAGAAGGCGTGTTTTGGAACGGTGCCCTTCATTGGTTTACTTGCCTTGTTGCTTGTTTATATTTCACCGTTGATGAAGAGACCATACATGAATTGCCAATGCCTCCTCTTCTTAAGGGAACTTTTTTGAGGAAATGCTACTACTTTGGAGAGTCTCGGGGTCATTTGCATCTGATTGAGGTTTATAATCCATGTACTATTTTTAATGTTTATGAGATGCCGAGAGATTACTCCAGGTGTTTTGTAAAGTATCATGTTGATCTTGGAGAGGTTGTCAACGCATATCCTGAGATGGCTAAAAGTAATTCTCATCAGTATGCAGTACTATGTGTTGTAAGGGAAGAGAATGATGAGGACTCGTACATGGTGTTGCATGTACCAAAGAAAGCAATATATTTCAGTTTCAAGGATTATACTTTCAAGAAGATTTATGATTTTGCTCCTCCGACTGTTGGCACCGGGACTGGTTTTCGTAATGTATTAGAATACACATTTGGATGGACGGATGCTTTCCGATACACAGAGAGTCTCGCAGGTGTTTGATAATGTTTCTATTAAAATTATTTCAAGGTATGACGGTGTTGTAATGGTGGTATTTATAAATGTTATCTACAGTTTGAATTATATTCAACTTATTTTGGTTGATAAATTCATAGTTCAATTATAAAAAAGGGGATTGCTCTAAAATTGCTTGGTTGTTGTGAGATCAAGCATATGTTTCCCAAAAGATTTCTGGAGAGTTTTGTTTTAGTCATCTTGAAGGGGCAAAATATAAACCTAATATAAAATATACATTGACAAAACCTATCAACCTTAATTTTATTGAAGGTAGAACTTCTCTTGAGAGAATAATCTTTAATTATAAAGGCAGAGGGATTGAAGAGTATTACTGATTTTAATGTTGAATAATAGAATGACAGAAGACCCCGAGACAATCTTTGAAGATAAGCGATACAGAGAAACATGTTGAAGTAAACCACCTGTGGATGGCCTGATGGTAAGAGAGCAAAAAAAATTCCATGAGTTTCTAAATTTGAGTTTCTCTAGACAGGTACTAATAGGGGTGGTTATTGGGTTTTTACCCGGTCGACGGTTCTAGAGGTCTCAAGGGATTGTCGAGGTGCGCGCAAACTAGTTCAGACACTCATGGTGATGAGAAAAAACAAAAAAAGGTTGAAGTAGTTCCCAATTCAATACTGTTAACCTAAATTTTTTTGAGTTTCTCTACAATTCAAAATCATGTTAATGCTTACGCTCATATTTGCTATAGCGAATTTCTCATTAAATGGCTCGTCATAATAAAGATGCTCGTGATAGAATTTCAATAGTTAATTTGTTGCAGCAAATTTTTTCACTGTAACAAAGAAAATTCCTGAAACAAACACACTTTTTTGGGAAATTTTGATTTTTAATTCCTAATAACTTTGTATCATATTAGGATAATTGTGAATCACCCTAAACACTATAAAAAGGTGTTAAATCCCAACGAAAATTTGTTAAAAGTGCTACTAGTGATTGAATTTGTGAGGCTTAAGAGACTCCTATTATTTTTTTCTTCTTCAAAAGTGAAATTTCGTAATAACAAGTAGACATAACTCTATATGGAGGGTAAATCACATATTATTCTATTATTTGTTTGCTTTTATTTGGAATTAAGGTTAGTAGTTAGCATAAAAAAAATCCCATCAATAGTTTATGCAAGAGCATAGAAATTGTTTTGTACTTTGATTCCTACAACACGTTCTGAAGGGAAGAAGGGGCATGTGGGGGCCGCTGCCCCTACTGAATTTTTGAAAGAAATTTTTTATTTATTAAAGTAGGCCCTCTCTTAAAAAATAAAAATATTCTTAAAAAACTAAACTTATTTCCGGAATGTACCTAAATAAAAACGTAAAGTTTTTGAGTAATGCTATGCGTACTAACGGATTTTACTAACTAGAGTACTAATTTAAAGCATAATATAGGTACCATACGCATAGTATGGGTACTATTTGTGATTTTAACAAAGGTTAGTACATTGATTAGTAAAATCCGTTAGTACGCAAAGTATTATTCAAAGTTTTTATTTCTCTCTAAAATTAACCTTTTGTTTCTTCTTTCCTTTGTCTGGAAAAAAGAGTTAGCCAATTTTAATTCTTTTTTCCTTTTAACCTTCTCCTCATAATTTCTTTTTCATATTTTAAGAACCAAAGAGTTACACGCTCCAATCTTACAATTCCTAAGTACTTTTAATTTATTTAATATTTTTTAAAATTTTAACAATTGGTTATTGATGTATGATGAAAATAATAACGATGAATTGTTGATAAATTTCTTAAGTGTTCGATTAATTACCGCAGTGGATATATTGTAGTTTTCTCACCATATGCTCAATAATGCTTTCCAGTTTCTACAAACAGAACCCTAGCTGATTCTAGTAAATCTATAGCCTCCTCTTCTTCTCACCAATACCAATCAACATTATCATCCGAAAAAATCACTAGCAATAATGACCTTCTAATTGAAATATTTGTTTGCCTCCATATCAAACATCCAAACACTGCCTTCCTCTCATCTGCAACCCCAACTTCTCCCTCCGCCTAAACCTTATTCCTAGACCCACCTCTGCCCTCATTTTGCTTTTAAAATATAGTCCCAAAAATTTGCGTCTAAAAGGACCAAGAACAGATACTAAATATCAGTTGATTAATCATAATTCCGATCCCTCTCATGTGCTCTTCAAGAGTCTCACGTTCTACAATCTTGTAATGGTCTATTGTTATGTGGCCATATTAATTGGCACAACCCTAATCACCCCTGTTTCATTTTCAATCCCATTACCAAGCGACACACTAAGCTTCCTCACGTCATTGGAAGTTCTACAACTTCCATTTTGGTATTAACTTGGTATTTGATCCTTTAAAGTCACCTCATTACAAGGTCATTTGTGTCAGAAGTTGTGATTCTTTGGTTGAGGGCCATTATCAAATAGAGTTCTACTCATCAGAAAGAAATGGATTGGCACGGTGCCCTTCATTGGATATTAATTTTCTTGGTGCTTCTTTCTGTTTCAACGTTGGTGAAGAGACACTACAGAAAATGCCAATGCCTCACTTTCCTGATGGATTTATTTTGAGGAAATTCTTCTACTTTGGAGAGTCTCGGGGTCATTTGCATCTGATTAAGGTTTATTGTCCATGTACTATGTTTAATGTTCATGAGATGCTGAAAGATTATTCTGGGTGGTTTGTGAAGTATCATGTTGATCTCAGAGAGGTTGTAACCGCATATCCTGAGATGGTTGTAAGTAATTGTTATTCAACGGAGTTGTATAATTATCGGTATTCTATACTATGTGTTGTAAGGGAAGAGAATGATGAGGACTCGTATATGGTGCTGCATGTTCCAAGGAAAGCAGTATGTTACAATTTCAAGGATAAAACTTTCAAGGAGCTTCGTGATTTTTCTCCTGCCATTGTTTGTAGCAGGACTAAGTTCCATAATGTATTAGAATTTTGAACTAAGGCTAACTTTCATAATTTATTAGAACGAAAATCTGGATGGTTTGATGCTTTTCAATACACAGAGTATCGCATGTGTTTGCTAATGTTTCTATTCACATTAGTTCTAGGCATTACGGTGTAGAGGTTTTCAGGCCATGAATTTCAGTATGTATTTATAATGGTGGTAATTATAAATGTAATAGACAGTTTGAGGAGGTGTTTGTCTAAGTTTATAAGCTGGTCAAACTTGCTTATAAGCTCTAATAAACTTGGTCGGAAATGTAATAAACAGGTTTTTAGGCCAGAATTTCAAGGCATTAGATGTTTGATTGTTTTAAAACCCAAACCTTTAAGGCCACCGAAGAGCAATTTTACAGTTACCGAAGAGCAATTTTATAGTTACCGAAGAATGCGCACCGAATTAATGCACCGAATGACGTGGTGCAATCCTGACCGTCGATTAATATTAATTCATAATTAATCGACAGTCAGGATTGTGCCACATTATTCGGTGTGCATTCTTCGGTAATTGTATTATTTTTTGGCCACCGAGTCCAGGGTTGCTCAGTCTGACCATTTAAATTGGTGATCTCCAGTGATCCAAAATGTTTAAAATCTTGCAAACACACACCCCTAAAAATTACATCAATCTCTATAAGTTTGAAATATATCAAATACACCCCTACGATCTGTTTGCGTTTTGACTTTTCCGGCCAAAATCTAGTTGATTCAGGCAGCCAAAATTCAATTCAACACCACCACCTAAACCACCATTCTCCATTCTACAAAACCCCTCTAACCCCGAAACTTGGTAGGCTCTCGTTTGTCGATCGTGACTCGTGTATAATGTCGCGATTGGGTTGATTTTTCCGGCCAAATTCCAACTAATTCTGGTATCCAAAATTCAATTAAACATTGCCACCTAAACCACCGACCTCTGCTCTACAAAACCCCAAAACTTGGTAGCCCATGTTTGTTAGTGTATGCCCTAGGAACCAATCGTGTTGTCAGTTTTAGGACATTATATTTTGTAAATGTACTATGAGTAAAAGAAATTGTTCTTATTTCACATGTTGATTTTCTGCTTCATTTATATTATATTATATTTAATATTGCATGTGAAATGTGAAATGTCCGGATGACACGGATCTTTAGAAGATCAAATCATCAAAGAATTCCCTACGCAAGTAATGTTAATTGGGCAATAACATTGCATAGTAGGCATGTTGAACGTCTCCATTGAATATCATGTGATGGTATTAGTGTGGATGATTATAAGAGGTATGTCACTAAGGCATTAGCATGGATAAATGGTTAGTAAACTGTTTATCGAATACGACCGATTACGATGAATCACATGATATGGTCAATGATGCTTACACCTGAGACATCACGATTGGATTCAATATCGGATGCATATGGTTCATATGGTGTATAAGCACGAGACTAGTCATGTCTTGTGTAATAAGCCAGTTTGGTCATGTGTTATTCATGTGCGAGGACAAGTGATGGTCAAGATAGGATCCGTTAACTCAAAATAGTCCAATCTCGAGTTCCCAGACGAATGTCAATAAACATTGGAAAAGGGAAATCTCTGGCCAGAGTATAATAAATGTTAGATGAAAAGTAGTTTCATGTTAACGAGTTCCATTGTATCGATTGACAATTCGATTAAAGATTAAGTTAAAGGTTTTGACATACCATGAACCATTCTTAATCGGGATTAGATAACGGAGGGATTTGACTACATGGTACGTACGATCAGAATAGGTTCATTGGAGCTTACACTTCATTGTGGTTTAGGGGTTATGGAACATTGCTAGACATCTACCATAATGAGTGGGAGTTTCGATTATAAAGAATTATAACGAAACATATCAAAATTTGATATTGGGCCCACGGCTAGATCACAGTGAACCAAAATGGTCACACATAAAACCAAGCTCAAGGAGAGAGAGTAATACATATCATTAATCAGATTAATGATGTTCGAACGTAAACGGTTGCATCCGAATTAATGTATTGGTGAGAAATGATTATCCATGAATAGCTAGCACTAACCAAGGGTAATAAGGATTTATTAAATATCATTATTGAATTGGATTAAATGATGGGGGCAAAAGTGCATTGGTTTTATTCTAAAGGGTTAGAATATTTAATTGAATTAAAATTTGGTCTAATTATGAATTAACCATAAAACCAAGGACTTGACATAAATTTTTATTCTCAAGTTAATTTTAAATTGTTTGAGGCCTTCCCAAAATAATTTAAAATTACACTTTGTGCCCATGGTATATCAATTAAGTTTTATGTCATTTTAATTGATTTGAATCAATTAAAGCAAAATCACTCTCTCATTTTCTCTCTCACTCTCACGGCTCTCTCTTCCTTGACTTGTGTGGATCACATTTTGAGGTTCTTTAACTTCACTTGAAGAACTAAGATTCCAAGAAAGAAGATTCAAGTGTTGAATAGCAAAGGAGTAGGTAATATTCCATCCTTACCTTGAAATTTTTTGGGCTTATGTGTTATGTTTGTCTTCTACCTTACATCCATCATCTTGTTCATCCATGTTACACCATTTCTATGTCCAAAATGCATGAATCCCAACACTGTTCACTGACCATGACTCTCATATTGGGTTGAATTTTCCGGCCAAATTCCGGCGTCCAAAATTCAATTCGACATTATCCCTTGAACCAACGGCCTCCACTCTACGAAAGCTCTCTAACCCCAACACTTGGTAGCCCCTCGTTCGTCGACTATCAAATTAGGGATTCGGTAAATAGTGAAAAATGATAACCCAAACTGGAGAGGCTATCGGGTTCTAGTTGAACCGGTCTGATCCGTATTTTAAAACAATTAGAAGGTCTCAATGCGACTAATCTTTAACCATAAAGTATGAGCATCGGTATTGTAGAATATTATGGACCTCTACTCATCTCAATGTTTGAACAAAAGAATGACAAAAGACCCCAACCCCAATTCCATCTCTGAAGTTAATTTTTAAACTTCACTGCAACATAAAAAAACACAGCCTTTAGAAATTTTGCAGCCCTCGACTTCCCTTATTTTACTTGGTGTTCTTGGAATTTTTAAGCATACCAAGTGTTAGATAACTTGTTGAAGAACCAGAACAAACTCAAGCAAATATTGATCATCTTGTGATAGAAATACTTGTTTGCCTTCTAATCAAATCCTTGCTGAAATTCAAATCTGTACCAAACATTAGCTTTCCCTCATCTCCGAGACTCCAACCCGAACTTTTTTTACTCCGCCTAAACCTTATTACTAAACCCATCTCCGATTACCATCTTCACAGTCTTCAGGGATTTTAATCGGAGGAATTGGCATTTCAATTAGTCGCTACCCGTCAACATTGAAATACAGATATAGAAGAAAGTCCCATAGCCATAACCACTCCAAAATACCCAGATATAATAATGCTGTAACTGAAATAATCATCATGCACCAAATCAAACAATTTTATAATAAATGATCAATTTACACATATACCATTCTTGAAGTTCGACCACTAGGCTGGAACAATGTATAAATCCGGGCAAGACAGTAAAATTCTTAAAGCTATAAATATTTCATATAAGTGAGAGTATCTGCTTTGAACTGACTAGATGAGAAAGTAATTAGTAGGAGTGAGGCCAAGGTAAAGACGGAAAGAGATTGTGAATTAGAAACGAGAGGAAACCAGTGCCTAGTTACTAACTTGGATTTGAGAAGAATAAGAGATTTCAGGGTTAAACAAATCAAGATTTCTCTGTCAAGAGATGAAATATTTTTATCAACAAGGAATAAGATTATTATATTACTTTTCAAAATGAACAGTGTTATGCCTGGAAAAGTAGGGCTGATGCAGAGCCCTGTCAGCGCAAGTGGTCAAATCTTAGATAAGTCCAGCAGCCATTCAAACGCAACCACGTCGCACGTTGAGGCAAGCGGCATGCTCCTACTAGTGCAGTAGATATGAGCTAGGCTGGTGAAGGGCTAGAGGCGATCCACGTGTCCAATCCCTGCAAGAGTTGAGTAAATCACTCGAGCAGGTGAATAACGGGACGCAAGGAAGGATTTACACGGCAATCAGACCCACTCCTTGATTTAGTAATTATTACCTCCATTCATCCTACTATAAATAAAGGGTTCATCTCCCGCTCGTTTGTGGGATTAGCTAATTTCTCTCTGGAATAGCATATACTCTCTCTCTCTCTCTCTCTCTCTCTCTCTCTCTCTCTCTCTTTCTTGTAATCTCTTATAAATCAGCTCGCTGAACGCGATCTGATCAAATATATTAATATAATACCAGTGGACGTAAGATTCGCTTATTTAAGCATCCGAACCACTTTAAACATTATTCTTCTTCTTCTATTCAGTTCAATACCCCCATACACGCGTGTCTTCTAAGCCAGCTCAGCATTTCCCACGTGCGTTTAGCAAGTGCCAAAATCACGCATCAATAGTTTGGCGCTAGAAAGAGGCCTGATTTAGTATTCGTCCTTCATCAGGAGAATCTCTAACTAATCGATCCTACAACGGCAAATGGCTCACAGATTCGAATCTGAGCGACCCAACCATGGTGAGGAAGAAATCCCCCATGTGCAAGAGGACACTTCTTCCGAAGTGCCCCCAGTTCCACAAAATCTCGTGGGGGATATTCCTTCAAGCTCATGGCTTGATCCAGCCGTCATGAGCTACCTGGAAAGGTTCAACAATACTCTCCAAATGGTCAACCAAAGGCTGGACTGTTTGGATCGGGTTGCACCACCCGAATCAAATGAGGCGGTGCCACCACTTAAAACATCTGTAGGTCGCATGAACATGCTAAAAAGGGCGATAGCCTGTGCTACGTGCACTGTAGCGCGCCAAAGGAAAGGAAAGCAAGTGGCGAACAATGGGCCTAGAGGCTCCAAGGGACCAGCGAACACTGACCGCACCCCAGGTAGAATACCCTTGGCGCGTAGACTCGGTGATAGGTCGTAGCCCGAGCTATCCAATGCCACATCG